GATGGCAAGCATCATGAGCAACATTCACGTGGGCGGCACCATAGCCAAGCAAACAATCGGACGCATCATGAGCATCATTGCCACCACAGGAAAGCAGAATTTCGGATGCATAGTGAACATCATTGTCGTGGGCGGCCGCAAAGGAGCAAACGACCGGAAGCATCATCAGCATCATTGACGCCGCCGGCAGCGAAGCGAAGCAAACAACCGGAAGCATCATGAGCATCATGGCCATGGCAAGCACCGAAGCAAATTGATCAAAGCAAACAATCGGAAGCATCATGAGCATCAGGGTGTGATGTGGGTGTTGGTGGGTGGCCGTAGCCGGCACCGATCGAAGCAAATCAAAGCAAACAATAGGAAGCATCAGGAGCCTTATTGCCTTCGCCGGCAGCAAAGCAAAGCGTAATGGGTTATTGCCGCGGGCGGCACCTATGCAAAGCAAAAAAACGGAAGCATCGTGAGCATAATTGCCGAGGGCGGCACCAAAGAAAGCAAACCATCGGATGCATCGTGAGCATCATTGCTGAGGGCGGCACCAAACAAAGCAACCAATCGGAAGCATCATGAGCATCATTGCCGCAGGGGGCACCCAACTAGAGCAAAGCATCCGAAGCATCACGAGCATCATTACTGCGATCGGAAGCATCATGAGCATCATTGTCAAGAGCCTCACCAAAGAAAGCACAACATCGGAAGCATCACGAGCATCATTGCCGCGAGCAGCGCCAGGGAAAGCAAAGAATCGGAAGCATTATGAGCATCATCGGCATGCTCGGCACCGAAGAAAGCAAACAATCGGAAGCATCATGAGTATCTTTGCTACATGTAGCAGCAAGAAACCAAACAATGGGAAGCATCATCAGAATCATTGCCGCAAATCCGCAAACAATCCGAAACATCATCAGCATCATTGACGCAGCCGGCAGCGAAGCAATGTAAACAACCGAAGGCATCATGAGCATCAGGGTGTGAGTGTGGGGGTGGGTGGGTGGGCTGCCGTGGCCGGCACCGATCGAAGCAAGTTAAGGCAAACAAACGGAAGCATCATGAGCATGGCCGCAGGCGGCACCAAAGAACGCAAGCAATCGGAAGCTTCACGAGCGGTAATGCCGCGGGCGGCACCAAATCGAAGCGTCATGAAATATTGCCGCGGGCGGTACCAAAGCAAAGACAGTGTGGGTAGCATCAGTGCCACGCGCGGCAACAAAGCAAAGCTAACAACCGGAAGTATCATCAGCATCGTTGCCGCGGGCGGCAGCAAAGCAAACCAATCGGCAGCATCATGAGCATCATAGCCACGGGCGGCACCTATGCAAAGCAAACAATCGGAAGCATCGTGAGCATCATTGCCGAGTGCGGCACTAAAGAAAGCAAACAATCGGATGCATCGTGAGCATCAGTCATTGCTGGCGGCACCAAAGAAAACAAACAATCGCAAGCACAACTTACCGTATGTTACAATCGGAAGCATCATGAGGAATCATTGCCACGCGCAAAGGATCGGAAGCATCACGAGCATCATTACCGCGGGCGGCACCTAAGCCACCCCAAGGAATCGGAAGCATCATGAGCGTCATTGCCGCAGGCGGCACCGAAGCAAGGCAAACAATCGGAAGCATCATGACATCGTGAACGTCATTGTCGTGGGCGGCCGCATAGCTGCAAACAACCAGAAGCATCATCTTCATCATCGCAGCCGGCACCGAAGCAAAGCAAACAACCGGAAGCATCATGAGCATCAGTGCCGTGGCCGGCACAGAAGCAAATCAAAGCAAACAATCGGAAGCAGGTGGCACCAAAGGACGCAAGCAATCGGAAGCATCATGAGCATCATTGCCGGCCGTCGCCAAAGCAAAGTGTCATAAGAATCATTGTCGCGGGCGGCACCAAAGCGAAGACAGTCAGAAGCATCATGAGCATCATTGCCGCGGGCGGCACCAAAGAAAAGCAAACAACCGGCAGAATCATCATTATCATCGTTGCCGCGGGCGGCACCAAAGCAAACCAATCGGCAGCATCATGAGCATCGTTGCCACGGGCAGCACCAAAGGAAGTAGACAATCGGAAGCATCAGGAGCATCATTGCTGCGGGCGGCACCAAATGAATCCAAAGAATCGGAAGCATCATGAGAATCACTGCCGCGAGCGGCACCAAAGCAGCGCAAAAAATCGGAAGCATCATGAGCAACATTGCCGTGGGCGGCACCAAAGCAACGCAAAGTCGGAAGCATCATGTGCATCATTACCGCAGTCGGCACCAAAGCAGAGCAAATCAGAAGCATCATCATGCATCATTGCCGCGGCTGGCACCGCGGCAAAAGCAATGCGAAGCATCATTGGATGTACGCGCCACGAAAATCCTAAAAATCGGAATCATGATGAGCATCGTCCGAGTGACCCCTATGCTGCAAACCGTCAGAAGCATCATCAGGGGCTGCAGGCAGCAACTAATCATCGTTGGCCCGGGTGGCTGCTAGGCGGCAAGGCAGCCGGAAGCACCATCATCAAAGCAAAGCAAAGAGTCGGATGCCTCGTGAGTAGTTTCGCATTAGAATTAGTATTAGTATTAGTACAATATGATATAGTATAGTATATAAGTATATAAGTCTGAGATCATCGAATCGAGCGCCCCCATCCCAATTTTACGAAGCAAGGGAAGCGTCATGAGCATCAGGCGAGGCAGCAAACAATCCCTGAAGGTAGCAAGGTAGCAAAGCCACGAGCATTGCGGAGGCAACCGGTAAACACTCAGAAGCGCCATGGGATTCTCCACTACCGAGAAGTACAAAGCAAGAGAGGCGTCATGTGCGCAAGCAGGGCGTTCATGGGCAGCATGGATGCAAAGCAAGGCAGGCATCATCAGCATAATCGGTTTGGGGCGGCTCCCCAGGCAGCAAAACACGGGAAGCATCATGAGCAAGCTAGGCCGTATCGGTGCTCCTGCCACATGATAGTGTAAGGAACCTCATCGACGCTGAATCGAACAAACGACCTCTCCGAAGCGAAATACCAAAGCCCCCCTCAGACCCCAACCAAACAAGCAACATAAGGGCCCTCGAAGCCCTGAACGCTACGGATATTGCCAAATTAGCTTCCAGAAGAGAATTCGGCAAGGGCTTTGACCCCGAAACTTCAATAGATAGGGTTCTATTGTGTCGGAATCCGTCTTCTGAGGGCGTGGCTGGGCTCAGCCGCTGTCTTGCCCTGGAAATTAAGACGGTAGTGAGGACGGTAGTAGGAGTATATACTTGCTTTCACAAAAAAGCAGCAATAGCGTCAGCGGTGGCCGTGGCAGCTGTACGGGCAGTGGATGGTGGTGGGCGGTGGTGGTGGTGGTGGTGGTGGTGCTGCTGCTGCTGCTGCTGCTGGTCAATGACAAACACAGTAGCAATAGCAATGGCAGTAGCAGCATAGGCTGAAGCCCGAAAATCTCCGGCTAAAAGACCCTATGCACGAACACTGCAGCTAGTGTATTTCAGAGTATCACCATGGGACTTTCCTCCGGCAATACGCAGTCCGTGTTTTGCTTAGTTTCTTTTTTGCTGCTTCAATAAATCTTCTCTTCACATCTGTCCAAAAGACACTTCCGGATTTTGGGTGGGATTTTGGGGTTTTGGGTTTTGAGTTCAGGGGTGCCTGAGCAACTTCGCAATCAGCGCCGGCCGCTCCGGTGGCCTTGGCTGGGCGGGTTCAGGGCTCATGGGATTAGATGAAGGGTGGATTTAGGTGAAGGGCCAGGGGGGTGGGTCGGGGTCAAGTCAGAAAGCTCATTGTTTGAGGGTGCTGAGCTTGGTTTCGAGCTCTGTCGTCCTGACGAAACCTTCAGAACCATACATCCTAAACACACGAATGCTTCACAAATACCAGAAGGCCAGCCAACAGTCCTCTGCGCAACGGCATGGACAAAGACAAGTGTGAAGCGGAATCAGCCTTGCCCGCAATTTGGCATAGTGGCATAAAGCAAGTGCGCCAGTAGCATAGAACAACAGGCGCGAAAAGGACGCAACTGTCTGCATGCGCACTATGATCAGCTGGCACTGCGCCACTTACTACCGTACCGAAGCCGCTGCGAACAATTCTGACGAAGATTACCTCCCTTGCTGCCACAAGCTCTCCGCCTCTCAACAAGAAGCGACAGAAGTCTGCAGTGGGCATGCTTCATTTCTATCATGTGTGGAATCTATGATAACAGTAACAAGAACTGTTACTACGATTGTAGTATTACTATACATTCTTATTCTTGTTGTTGCTATGCCCCTATTCCTAATATTCGGAAAAGTTTATGGATGTTTATGGGGGTTGTAGCCACCGGGTCGGAAGGATGCCGGCAGTGCAGATGCTTACATAAGAATCCTCATCTCAACTTTGCAGCACAGCCTGGAGGAAGCGATAGGTGAAGGAAACTTGACGTGACGTTCAAGGCTTTTTTCAAACGGTTTTAGCATGAGGTTTTTAGACTTTACTTTGCCGTTTAGGGTTTTGGGTTCAGGCTTTGGCTTCGGGCATGTTCTATCGGATGGAAGATTCGGGAAACCCTTCAACCTAATCGCGATGCCTGAAGCTGTCGTGTCTGCTGCATGCACTCCCTCGGGCAGGGAAACCCCAACTGATCCTTAAACGCCTAAACCCTAAACCCTAATCCCTAAACCCTAAACCCCTATAGGACCCTAAACCTTAATCCCTAAACCCTAAACCCCCAGACCCTAAACCCTATAAACCCCAATTCATCCCTAAACCACTCCAGGGGTTCCTGCGGAGATGACGCGGATGCAGTTGCCTCGAAAGCGCCACGTGCAGGAGGGACTCCAACAGCTTTAGAACTATACCATAATATACTATACTATACTATGCTATACTATAATTTGCTATAATATACCATAATATACTATGCTATAATATGCTACACTAAACTATAATATACTACAATATACCATAATATACAATAACATACTATACTATACTATAATATACTATAATATACTATACTATAATATACTACAATATACCATAATATACTATGCTATGATATATTATACTATACTACACTATACTATGATCTACTATAATATACCATAATATACTATAATATACGATAATATACTAGAAAAAAACACCCTTCAGCAGGGTGAGGCTGCGGATCTTTCAGGGTGGAGGGTTTCAGGGCCCAGGGGAAAGGAAACACGGCTGAGGTCCTCCGAGTGTCGGGGCCAAGGGTTTCAGGTTTAAGGCTCAGGGCTTCGAGCTCAAGGCCTTCTGTAACCAGAACCAGGCCTTGGGCTTAGGGTTCAGCGTTTGTGTTTGTTAGAATGCATGAACCATGATCAGACAGCAGGAGGAGTAAGAAGGCCGCAGAATCACTTCGTGTCGTCATGCATCTGGTATTGTCCACCCAAACGAAAACCCATGGTGTACACTCTCCGATAATGCTTGACAATTCTTCCGCGGTTAAAGCTCAGAAGGTTCTTCTGCAAAGCGGGCTTTTGCGGGTTTGGGGATTTGGGATGTTTGGGGTTTGTACGGGCTTAGGGACATGTCGAGGTCAGATATAGCAGTGTGGCTCGTGGGCAGCGGTTCCTGTCAACCGCTTGTACTCACATCAGTGAAGCCTCAAAACCCCGAACCCTAAACCGACCCTAAACCCTAAACGCTGAACCCTAAACCGACCCGGAACCTCACAGTACCAGCATGCTGTTCCAGCAAAGACACTGCCTGCGGCGCAGAGGATGTGGGAAGATTGCGCCCTCAGCATTGGCGGCTTGGGGTACCGCCTTTCGGCTATGAAATTGGCAAAAGGGGTGACAATAATGTTCTGACTTGCCGGACATCAGCCTTTTAAAATCTTCTGCATGCATGCGCCAAACCCAGATCCCAAAAGCCGGTAAGCCTAAAGCCCGAAGGCGTGATTCCCTCCGTCTCTTGATACACCCATCTCTTCAATGCTGCACGCAGGAAACCTGAAACTTAAATCACATAAGATCCACACTTTCGGTTAAGACTTTGTCTTAAACAAAAGACCCGAAGCCCCTATAGTTGGACCTCCGCATATCCCGCAAACCGCGAATCCTGGAAGCCTGACCCCAGAACCACGCATCGGAGGTTGTGCTTTCGGACTGCTCTGAATAATTATGTAAGAGTAAGGAGTAAGGCAGGGGCCTTAATTATTAGAATGGGGTTTTGGAAGTTCCTTATTAGAATTATAGTCTAATATACCCCAAACCCTATATTGTTCTTGACATGCCATGGCCTGTGCTCCCTGTACTGCAGAGCTTTTTTTTTGCAAGAGGAGAGGAGCGAGCTAAGAACTCTTGGATGACGTTGCCGTGCTTCGCCGGCAGCCAGTCAACTAGGAGGGGCATGTGCTTCTGCACTCGGACATTCCGAGTATGCACAGCGGCTGCTTTGGCATGGCTACCGGTGCCTTCCCAAAAGATGCCAAAAATATCAGAATTTTGGGTTGAGGTGTTTTGGGGAGGTTCTGCCACATCAATGATTCGGGAGGCACAGAGCAGCCGACCAAAGACTTCGAGCTACATATGGACAATTCCGGGGTGGGCGTTCACGGAGTTGGAGGTCGCAGAATTCTCTGAAGGATTGAAATCGGGTTGAGGGTAACCGCCCAAGTTTTGTTAAAATAGGCGCCTGAAAAAGCGTCTCGCCAGTACTGCGAGGACGTAGGTGCAAAGTGTCGGTATTTTCCAAGGTGATGCAACCAACACCCCAGCCATGCTCGAGAATGCTGGCACAAGGCACACCAGCTAAATTGAAAGCTCTAAACCCGATGCCCTAGCTCTCCAGCGGCCGACTGGAATCTTGCCGGCATTGCTACTAGAAGCGCCCTATACAAGTCATTATATGGGTTACCATATCGGTTTCATAAAGGTTACCGACCGATAAACCTTCAATCCTAAACCCCAGCCCCTTCGTCCTATTTCTGCAGCTACGTGTGCATCACCTTGGCCGCAGACACGGGTTTCGAGATTCGCCGTATGCTGTGGACATAGACCAGGTCAAAGAATAGTACTTCGGGCTTAAGGGCTTTAGGGCCCAGGCTGTCAAGCTTTTACCCTTAGCATCAAAATAGCCCAAAAGCCTTATATAAAAGTGTCTTTGGGCCCAAAAGCCTTAAAGTATGAGTCCTTGGAGGGTGAGGGTTAAACCAACGAAACAGAGAAAGCCTGTGCATCCTGAGAG